ACACACACACACACACACACACACACACCCCTCCAATCGCGATTCTTCCCCCCACCCGCATTGCCAATCAACCACTCCAGCAAGTGCTACTACCGATCGATCGATCCACGAATTAAGTTAAATTTTCGAAAAAAAAAGGTGGGGGGGAGAATCGCGATTCTCCCCCCCACTCTCATTGCCAATCAACCACTCCAACAAGTGTTACTACCGATTGAAATTTCGAAAACAAAAGGTGGGGGGGAGAATCGTGATTCTCCACCCCACCCTCATTGCCAGTCAACCATTCTATCAAGTGTTACTACAGATCGATCCACGAATAAAGTTGAAATTTTGAAAACAAAAGGTGGGGGGGAGAATCGCGATTCTCCCCCCCACCCTCAATGCCAATCAACCATTCCAACAAGTGTTAATCGATCCATGAATACACAAGGGCGGAATTTTGAAAAAAAAGAGGTGGGGAGGAGAATCGCGATTCTTCCCCCCACCCTCATTGCCAATCAACCATTCCATCAAGTGTTAACGGATCCAGGAATAAAGTTGAAATTTTGACAAAAAAAAGCGGTGGGCAGAATCGTGATTCTCCCCCCGACCCGCATTACCAATCAACCAGTCCTACAATTTCTACTACCGATCGATCCATCCATAAATAAAGTTGAAATTTCGAAAACAAAAAGGGGGGGCGAGAATCGCGATTCTCCACCCCACCCTCATTGCCAATCAACCATTCTATCAAGTGTTATTACCGATCGATCCACGAATAAAGTTGAAATTTCGAAAAYAAAAGGTGGGGGGRAGAATCGCGAGTCTCCCCCCCACCCTCAATGCCAATGAACCATTCCAACAAATGTTAATCGATCCATGAATACCGAAGGGCGAAATTTTGAAAAAAAAGAGGTGGGGGGGAGAATCCCCCCCACCCTCATTGCCAATCAACCATTCCATCAAGTGTTATTCGATCCACGAATAAAGTTGAAATTTTGACAAAAAAAGGCGGGCGGGAGAATAATGATTCTCCCCCCCAACCGCATTGCCAATCAACCATTCCTAAAATTGCTACCACCGATCGATCGATCCACGAATAGAGTTGAAATTTAGAAAGAAAAAGGTGCCGACCTGCATTGCCAATCAACCATTCCTACAATTATTACTACCGATCGATCGATCCACGAATAAAGTTTAAATTTCCCAAAAAAGAAGAGCGGGGGGGGAGAGCATTGCCAATCAACCATTCCAACAACTGTTATCACCGATCGATCCACAAATAAAGTTGAAATTTCGAAAAAAAAAGGTGGGGGGGGAAATCGCGATTCTCCCCCCCACCCTCATTGCCAATCAACCATTCCATGAAGTGTTAATCGATCCACAAATGAAGTTGAAATTTTGACAAAAAAAGCGTTGGGCAGAATCGTGATTCTCCCCCCCACCCGCATTACCAATCAACCTGTCCTACAATTGCTACTACCGATCGATCGATCCACGAATAAAGTTGAAATTTCCAAAAAAAAAGGTGGGGTGGAGAATCACGATTCTACCCCCCACCCGCATTGCCAACCAACCATTCCAACAACTGTTACTACCGATCGCTCGATCCACGAAATGACACGAATGAAGTTGAAATTTCGAAAAAAAAAAAGGAAGGAGGGAGAATCACGATTCTCCCCCCCACCCGCATTGCCAATCAACCATTTCAACAAGTGTTATTACCGATCGATCGATCCACGAATAAAATTGAAATTTCGAAATAAAAAGGTGGGGGGAAGAATCGTGATTCTCCCCCCCACCTGCATTGCCAATCAACCACTCCACGAAATGCTACTACCGATCGATCGATCCACGAATAAAGTTGAAATTTCAAAAAAAAAACGTGAGGGGGAATCGCGATTTCTCCCCCCCACTCACATTGCCAATCAACCATTCCTACAACTGTTACTACCGATCGATCCACGAATGAAGTTAAAATTTCGAAAAAAAAGGTGGGGGGGGAGAATCACGCCGATAGATCTACAAAAGAAGTTGAAATTTCAAAAAAAAAAGTGGGGTGGGGAATCGCGACCATTCCTACAACTGTTACTACCGATCGATCGATCCACGAATAAAGTTAAAATTT